CCAGCGGCCGCGGCCGTGGCCGGGGGCTGCTCGCAGCCGGTCCCACCCGCTGGCCACCTCCGAGGCAGGAGCCCTCAAGCTAGGGCCCACCCCTGCACGGCAGCTCCCGCCCCCGCCAACCGCCTTCCGGCGCGTCTGGAACGTTCTGCGCCGGAACAAAGGCCCCAGGGCGGAAGCGAGGGTCCGAAGCTGAAAGACGTGCTTGGAGGCGAGGGCCTCTTAACCCGGTTGCCGAGGGGCGGTTCTGGTCCAGGGCTCTAGAAGGGAGTGGAAGGGACTAGTGCTTCTGCCAATTTCCGAATCCAGGCTTACATCCCCAGTTTCTTTACATGTAAAGGGTCCCCTTCGTCCGTGCCTCAAAAAGTTTTCCTTGCTTCCCCATCTGTTTTCTTCCGCTATCAGGGTGGAGGTCTAGGGACCCTCTACAGGAAGAGAATCTTTTTGTTCACCTTGGAGGAGGGAGGCCGGAAGTAGGAGACACCCCTGTTATGTCAGGAACTAGTATAAAGGAGCGCACACACCTATTATAATAACCACAACCCCTTTAGCTCTGCAAACCTCACCCACATTAGTCATCAAATGTCTTGCTTGCCAAATCTAATACGCTTTTGTTTATCCTTGCTAATTTTTAAAAATACGGACTCGAGTTTTTCCAGTTTTTCTGTCCACCTTTATTTCCTTCAGGGCCTCCACTCCTTCTAGTGAATCCTAATGAGGTATCTCCCTGGCTTATCCTCGGTTCCTTCCTCCTTAGTGATTCTCAAAGTGCAAGGAGGAGGGAAGGACGTTCTATCTAGATGGGCACATCCAAACCGAGGGGAGAGTGTCCCCGATTACTTTTTAAAAGCACATCTGAAGTTCACTCAGTTTTTGTTAAGCACTTACTATGTGGCATGCACTGTGCCAGGCTGTAGGAAGCGGCGTGAGACTCAAGGTCTGTCGGAGCTAGAAGAAGCCAACATAGGAGTCCTTGATGACATCTAGAAGGGAGCAAACCCGAGGATCCACAAATTCTTATACAAAGACAGACTGTGTTTACTGCTATCAGAGAAAGGCAGGGAACTGTAAGAGGGGATCCTAATTTAAATTCCAGATCAGGAAAGGCCGTTCTGAGGAAGTCACATTTAACTGAGGCCGGGATGATGAGCAGGGCTTCCACACAGAAGACTGAGATCCCCCGAAGAAGGAAGGGGCTTCATGGTGGGAAGACTTTTGAAAAGAGGGCTATCTGGTCCAAGTGTGGCTCGGGGCCAATAGTGAAAGAGAGGTGTCATAAGAGATGGAGAGAAGTGGATGGGTCACACTCCTCCTTGGGAGGCCAGTGGGGAAAAGTGTCACTGAGGGAGAAAAAAATGACAAGGATGACCCCAAGGTTTCTGGTTTGAACATCCGAATGGTGATATAGGGAGCACTAAAGAAAAGCAGAGTTAGGGGGAAAGATACAGGACTTGTTTTTGGATATGTTAAGTTTGAGATGTCTGTGAGTCACATAAATGGAGAAGTAGGAGGTTAGCTGTATGAGCCTGGCACTGAGAAAGAGTTCTTGGTTGAATATAGAAATTTGGAATTCAGCAGAACAAGCATTGGGTATATGCTGAAGCTGGGGTGCACGGGCTTGTGAGAGCAGATAATTTTTCATGAATTCTGTAAGCCAGTTGTTAAAGGCAGCCATTTTTTTTAATTGCTTAGACATAATTTAAATAAATTTTATTTTATTTCTTTAAGATTTTATTTTATTTATTTATTTTCTTAAAGATTTTGTTTATTTATTTGACAGAGAGAGAGACAGCGAGAGAAGGAACACAAGCAGGGGGAGTGGGAGAGGGAGAAGCAGGCTTCCCGCTGAGCAGGGAGCC